CTGGAAGGGCATGAGAGAGTTTTTGGGGACAGCCAAAATCTTTCTCATACTTTCCTTGCGAAAACTCCAGGTTGATTTCCTAACATCTTCAGAGAGGGGTATAATTTTTTTCCCCTTGACCTTATACAGGCATTATCTGTCGGTGTTCACAGCACTGGACTTGATATGCCAGTTCTGCACACCTGGATACAAGGAAGTTTCCTATGAGATTTTGAAAGCAGAAGGGAAACTGTTGAGGGCAACTTAGCAAGAAGAAGGAGGGGGTAGGAACTGAACTAACTGCTTAGAGCAGATGTCAACCATTTTACCATGAGAGACTCTTAGTTGGTATCCAGTGTGAGTCCTGCTTCTGAGCAGACCTATTGAAATGAATGGGAATTAATGTAGGCTAACTTGGCTACAACCCCCTGTTTTTTTAATGCAGAGGAACACTGAGTAAACTGATTTCAATCATCATTTGAAAATTCAGAAGTGTTTTTGTGTGCTTTTCTCCCAAGGCATATAATTTTGTTTGCATTTTGCTGAATGAACAAATTTTATTTGCATATTATTTCAAGCAATAATATACTGCAGTTTTAATCATATTTTACCTTCTGAAAGACAACTGGATTTCACTTCACGTACTGATTCAAACATTAGCATTAGGTACGTTTGGAAGAGAATGGAAACAGGACCAATTTCTCACCCATCCTTGGTTCCCTTTCCAGAAACTGAGCAGACTTGGCAATTGAATCTAATTTCAACAGTGGTAATGTTCCTATGTCCTTAAATAGGTGTGAAAAACCAGGGAAGTCTCAGCTCACCTAATTTCTCAGAAAGATGTTTCAAAAGCCCAGTTTAGCTTTCCTTCATTCTTATTCAAGGCCTGAATTTTAGTCAGTTTAAATGAAAAAGTGGGAAGATTTCAGAAGTCCTGCACTGAATCTCCTGTGATTACAGAAAACCACAAAGCATTAATAGTTAACACAGGGCTGGATATTTTTGGGGAGTGTGGGTTGTGTGTGTTTCTGAAAATATCCAGCTTTCTCCAAACAAACTGACAATTCCTGCTTTCTTTTTGCAAGTTTCATATGTTTACATTTCTGTTGAGCTGGGATGGACCAACCGAATTCTCTGTTAGAGGGAGTGAAAATGGTAATATGTAGAACCCTTCCTAGATTTTCACCTTTTTACCAATGCACTCTTGTTGCTCAATATACTCTCATTACTATTTCTTTGTAAGTGTAAACAAATCCTATTTAGCATGAAATCTTTTTAAAAATGAAACCTTACAAAGACATCTGTTGTCAGTTAAATTCCTGTTGCATGTGTTTTCAGGGTAAGGATTCAGCTATGCTTACCTTTAGTCGCCAAAGATAGCAATAGTCCCGCATTAAACCAGCACAAGCAGCAAAGGTACATTGGGGGCATGGTTTTCTGGGCCTATATGGAAGAGGCGATTTGGACCGGCACAAATTTCTGCTTCAAAGTTCTGCAAGAATGGTTCCTTCCATCCTCAGAAAAAAAGGACAAAAAAATGGAGGGGAAACATGTAAATGAGAAGCAACTTTTGCTTGTCCATATTTTTAAGTGACTCCCACACTTCTTGAACTAAAAGGCAGAATGGCACACTGTCTTCCATTTTCCAAAGCAATTCTCTGGTTTAAATTTACATGAAAAATGTGTGCATTAGAAATTGGTGCACACCACAAAGTATCTTTATGGAACTCCCCAGGGAGGTCCGCCTGGCGCCGTCATTATTTGTTTTTCGGCTCCAGGCTAAGACCTTTTTATTTAAAACTTATTTTAATTGCTAAATTATTGTATTTATTAGGATTTTAAAATTAACCGAGAATGCACCGGGGGGGGGGGTAAATTTTTTTTTCTTTTAAATTGTTATATTGTTATTGTTTATGTATGTTTTTGTGTATTTTTTGTGAGCCGCCCCGAGGCTTTGTTGCGATGGGGACGGCATAGAAATGTTTTAAATAAATAATAAATGAATAAACTTTGTGTACATAAATGGATAGTTGGTGTGAATGTTCATGCACATGGTTTCCCAGAGTAATGCAGAAATTGGATGGCGTGGGCTTTTGTCTGAATAAATACAGAATTAGCACGGACTGGAAATAATTCATCCAACTTTAGCTTGGAGAAGAAGAAAATTGCTGGAGTTCTTGATCAATGTCTGTGATCAGTTTCTGAATCCAGTCTATTGCTAAAAGATGCAGCCTTGCCTTCCGCAGAACTTCACACCTGCTTCCATTTTGCGGGGTGGACATCAGGGCTGTTCCTCATGCTATATGCACCTGGCCAGCTCTGTCATCATAGATGTGTTGTCACTTATTTATTTGTTTAAAACAGTGGTATGCCACCCAAATTTGCCACCGCACCTCTGGACGGCTCCCACAGCACCTCTGCGTGGCTCATTAAGGACTTAGAGTAGCCAATGGCTCTCCCAGTTAAGTATTCCTACCTCTAAGCACTTTGCTTTTATCTCCTATATCACTTGCTTCATAAAACCACACAAACAAGCTACAAAGGCGTGCTTACATATCACGGATTACCACATCTAAGCTGTCGGAATCTTTCATTTCTTCCTTTCCCCCTGCTTGGGGGCTCCACGCTCCAGGGACAGATATAAAAGGAGCATCTAGATGAGCAGGGAGGGACCATACCGAAGGGGCGATCCCAGAAGACAAACAAAACAATCTCCCCTCCCGGTGGCCCAGCTCCAGAAGACAACTGCAGACCTGGCTGAATGAGGGCAGGGCCTGACTGGGATGGGGGCTACCTTAGCAGAGAGTGCTCCAGCTCCAGCTCCGTTCATAGTGGCCATCAGCTCTAAGCCCCAGTTTCTAGAAGTGCCAGTAGCCCAGCATTTTGGAGGCCTGCTCTGATGTAAGTCCAGTATGGACATGGCCTATTGTGATGCCATCTTTCAAAAAGCCCATGCAATGGCTGGGAGTACCGAGAAGAAGAGAGGCACACGAGGCCCTGCATTTTGCAGAAGAGCCCAGGAATGCCGGGTGGGAAAGGACTTTGATCAGCCAGGTCCAGCGAGCCAGACTGACTCAGCAAGAAGAAGTACTTCGAAAATAGCATGCCCGGTATTTTAACTGTGTGCCTGTGAACCAGAACTGAACAGCTGGGTGAGCTGAACTGGTTTGGTGAATCTTAATTGGCATGAAATGGAGCAACGAGAAAGGGTTTGGGTAAATGGGAACGCCTCTGACCCTCTGCCGCGACCACGGATTCGCGTACTTGCCTGCTTCCCTACTGCCAGATGTCAAGCCAGGGGGCTGCGTCCCGATCTGGAGAAGCTCCTGGGGACCCCTAGCGGTGGGGGTGGGGCCACAGGCAAAGGGGTGGGGCCAGAACCACCGGCATATTTTGGCTTGAAGCTCTTACTTCCTGCAGCTAAGACCTAGAAGAGACTGTTCAACCTTTCTGAATGAGAAAGACTGGTGCAAAATGCCAGGAAGGAACGGTGGGCTGAGGAAGGGTGCAAGGCCATTCGGGTCCCTGAGTGGGATCAGCTGGAGACCCCTGACCTGAAGTTTCATACACTGGAAGTATAGTGGGCCTGTGAGTGAGGGTATGGGAGAAAGGTATAACCTGAATGTATGGCCTCTCACTTGGATAGTGAAGAGACTTCCTTTACAAGCCTGGAAGGATAAATTCTCTCCCCCAGTTGTACAATGGACTGAGAAGCTTACGATGCTTTCACCTTACAATGAGGTCACCGTCAAATGGATACCTGGTCCATTTTTGCTGAAGGCTTTGTATAATGGCCAGTCATTTGTATGTGCACAAGCACAAATTATCTGAACATTTAATTCATGTATGCTTCAACACTAAAAAGGGCTATTTTCAAGCTCTCTCATTCTTCAGCACGGTCACCCACATGTCTATAGCATCCTATTTTGACATGACATTAATCTACAATTTTAAAATTGAAATGGCAGCTGGAGAGTTCCCAGCAACCCTTCGTGTTCTGTTCTAGAACACAGCTATGGTGAGATCATCGTAGTAAATCTGCCGCCCAGAATGCAAAGCTGCCGGCCAAATGCAGCACGGTGCTTTTTCACCTGATGAAAAAGCACAAGACAGAACGCAGGTTCCGAGAATGTGGGCAGTGCCAGTATGGTTTTGGTTCCAGGTCTTCTTTTTTTAATTGTGACTGTCTGCTAAATTGGACACGGGGCATGCCATGTGTAGTATATCAGCTACTTTTCAGCTCCCTCCATCTCAGCCCCTCTCTGTTCGATCTACTCATTTTGGTAGCCCAAAGAGAAGTTTAGGTGAAATACCCAGTGGAAACCAGAATATACCTTTTGGGGGCGGAGGGTCTAGGATTTGTGTAAGCCTCTGACTTCACATAATTCCTTGCACAGAAGCATGAAACCGTGAGGGGTCAATGAGGCCTTCTGGTCCAACCCTGTGCTCAAGTTGAAGCATCCTTGCCAGAGGGCTGTTTGGCTGCATCTTGAATGCCTGCAGTGTGGGAGAGCCCACGAGCTCCCAAAGTTGTCAGCTCCTGACAGCCAGGAAGTTCTTCCGGATGGTTAGCCAGAATCTGGCTTCCTGGCATTTGAGCCCATTATTCCATATCTTGCATGCTGGGAGGACGGAGAAGAGATCCTGGCCTTCCACCTGGAGCCACCTTTCAAGTCCTTCATGGTGTATTGGAACCACGTAGAAGATTATATTATGGCGAGGAGTTAGGTTTGACCCTCATATTGCCCTCATATTGCCTCTTTTCCCCTCATATTGCCCTTATCAGGTATGTTGATTTATGATAAAGTCTTCAGTTATATAACGGAATGTGTCATCTGCTGAGTATAACTTATATAACTTGTTTTTCATACCTGGTTTTACATTCCCCTTGCCAGAAGGGAGTACTGTGTCCCAGGTGCAGAGCTTTCGGGAGGACCCTACATTGGTTAGCTATCCGGAGTTGTTTACCCCAGTGTTGGCTCAGGGCCAGGGGCCGGGCACGAGTGGAACGGAGGTTTGTGGACCAGAAGCACTCAATTACTCCATTAAGATACCTAGCTTTGGGGATAAAACCAGAGGGTTGAGGACCTGAGTTGGGGAGCTTCTACATGGATCAGGATCCTGAGTGATGATGGCCTGGGGGTCTCTCTTGCTGCCCAACTGGGACTCCTGGCAGCTGAAGGGGAGAAGATACTCTTGTAAGGTATCATTGCTATTTTGTTTGCCTGCAGATACTATCGTGGCTTAACTAAAGCATTGCTTTTCCTTCACCTACTGGCGTGTTCATTGCCTCCACATCCAAAAGAACCCCTGTCTTTGACAGAACACATGGTAGCTTCCAATAACTACTGGAAAATTCTGGAACATAGCAACATTCAAGTAGCAAAAACCTGGACACACAAAATGACAGGAAACTTGTTTATTTCTGCCTTGCTGGTAGGGTCCTCTGCATGTAACTGGGAGAGCTGATGAGTGACTCTGCTAGGCTATTTTTGAAGCTCAGAGGCCAAATCAAACTTCAGTGGAATTTTTTCCAGTGTGATCTACGTCCATAGCGATTTCAACCCTTCCCACCCCATTGGATTGAAAAATCTGCAAATGGTGGCCAATTCTTGTTCAAAAAGTGAACTGTCTAAATTGTTATGGGTCATGTCGGTCTTTATAAGTAGAAACAGGAATGCAGAGTGCATCTCCAAATGCGAGACAACAAGGAGATCCCTCCTCTTTCTGCTCCTGTTCTTCCTTGCATTTCCAAGCATGCTTATTGTTCAAATGTTTTTGCAGGTATGCCAGCCCTGAAAGTTGCCATCTTCTGAGAGACGCTTTTCACACTAGCCACCTCCTTGTGCATTTCCTTCACCATGCAGACTCTCTTGGGACTGTTTGTCTTTTGTGCGGTTCTCTCCATGGGTGAGGACTTCATACGTTCTCCAGAAACACACAAACATGGAACTGTGGGGAGGGGGAAAGAAATAAGATAAAAATGAGACTGAAGCATTGAGATCTGCCACCGAGGACCTTCTTTGAAAGAGGCTAGAAGATAGACTGCACAGGGAAGGGTCTTCTCGGTGGCAGAACCCCAACTATGGAACCTACTCCCTACAGAGGAGTGCCTGGTGCGGATGCGTTATTCATTTCAGCACCAGGCTAAAATCTTCTTAATTATCCAGTATTTTAACGGTTAGAATGATCTTACTGTACATTTTATATATTGTAAGTTGGTTTATTCAGGTGCTGTTATGGGTTTTTTGTTCCTTCGTAAGCTGTTGAGAGAACCTGAGTGAATACAAGATGGGATAAAATGTTGTAAATAAATAAAAATAAATAAGCTGGAAAGCCTTGATGTCTGCTGGGGTGGTGGGAGGGAAGTGCAATTGCTTCACGTAAGAAAAGGTTGTGTTGGCCATGGGAGGTATGCAGCTGGAGGAGGCCACATGCTGTCTTGTCGAAGACCAGGTGCGGCACAACATCTCTTCCTGTACTCCTGATTTTAGGGGAGGCCATTGGATAGAAGTGAAGGAAAGCTTTTTGTGTTCCTCCTCTAGGGACATCTTTGGAGTGTGAAACATGCCATGCCCCCAACAAGACCTGTACTGGTGATAAACAAGCTTGTGAAGCCAACCAAGATGCTTGTGCCATCACCTTGATTGTAACTGTAGGAGGTGAGTGGGAAGCATTTACTCCCTTCCAGTCAAAACATGGACTTGGACACCACTGGCAGTTGGCAGTCCATCCATTTTTGGGTTGGCAATGTTACTTGCCAATGCGCCCAAGTGCATGTCTATATATTTAAAAATGGAATGAAAAAAATACTTCTGAAAACTGCACACAAAAGCAATGCGAGAAGACTTGCCTTTCAGATATGCACATCTTTGTTCCAGGCTCTTCTGCCTAAACAGATGTTCATTCAAGATTTTCAGGTCTGAAACTGGGACTTTTTACATAAATTATGTGCTCAAGTGTGTGAGCTCTGACCTCTTCTGCTGAGTGAAGCACCGAGAAAAAGTTGGCAGCTGCTGCATCCACCTTTTTGCTGCTGTTTGCTGTTGCTTCTTTTATCCAAATATCCTGCAGATGTTTTCAGATGCTGCCCTCTTGAAGCAAGTTCATCTCATTTCCAACAGATGGACTAAAGTGTCTCTGTTTGAACGGCAATTAAATATAGTTACGTGGAATGAACTTTTCTAGCAAACAAGCAGCTTTTGTATGACAATTTTCCCATTGTTGCTGTCTTCCATATCAAATTATAGTATACTTTCAAATGTGTAAATTTAAAACCCTTCCAGGGTGACACTGTTACTTTCCTTGCAGCACATAAAAGATGTGAAATTAGCTCCTTGTGATTCCTATTTCTATTCTTTTCGGTGAATATATTCAACAGGCCAGTTCTGAGTCTGCAGGTGCTTCTACTTGTACACTCCAAGTGCTCTCAGCTGTCCAGAACTGTTGTGTCTCAACACTTTCCCAGCACGTGTGTTAGGAGATGTCCCCTACTTGGCGATCCCCCACCCCAGGGCACCGGGGAGTAACCAGACTTGCATGTTGTTATTGTTTCAATAACGTTACATTTTATGCTATCTGCTTTGATACCTCTGTGGAATGCAGTAAATGGCTAAAACAGGTATAAATAAAATGCAGATAGACACACCTGCGTGCATTGCTTTTACTGAGAACAATGATTATCTGTTGCTTTTCTTTCATCTCCAGGAGGGCAAACCAACTACAACATTGTAAAGGGCTGTGATGAAAAGTCTCAGTGCAATAAGAAAGAGGAAAACAAGCTTGACAATGGAGGTTCCATTACAACCACAGTCGAGTGCAGCAACTTCCCCAAACCGGGCACAGCGGGTGGTTCTGCTGCGGCGCATTCATCTGCAGCGTCCCTCCTGCTGGCTCTCTCTGCGTTCCTCATAAGGACATTCCTGTGACGAAGCGCTTGCATCAGCCCAACACCAAATAAAGCATGCCTGCCGCTTCCCCATGAAGTTCTCTGGGGTGGATCATGTGCGCCGCAGGGGGCCAGGGTTGGCAAGGAGTAGTTCCGTGGGTGTGATTCGCTCAGGGGCAACCCCCCCCCAGCTGGCCCTCCGCTCCCAGTGGCGCATCACGGGTAGGGTGGCCCCGGTTTGTCTGACTCTGAGCACTCCTCTCCCATGCCCTCGCCCTGCACCCGTGCGTCTTTGCCCTCCTCAGAATCCACCCGAACCCTCAGAGGGAAGAGCGTTGAGATGAGCAGGGCTTCTTTAATCTCAGAGCCTGGAGCTCCACAGCCCCAGGGGCCCCCCGCCACCTCCCCTTCGTTCTCTGACTCAGCGCCCAGACTGGCAGGACTGGTGAGCACGTGCTCATTCCCAGCACCAGCCGTGATGGCACCACGGCTGGAATCGGTGGCATGAAGGTGGGCAGGACCAGTCCATGGTCAGCCAGCATACAGGTGTCCTCCTCTTAGGCTGGGGTGAGCAGAGGGGGGGTGGTGAACCTCAGGGTTTCACCCTTGCATCAGCTCCAGCTGTAATCACTCTGTGCAGTTCCAATCTGACTAGCCAGCTTGATTGCGGCCGTGAAATGCCACGGCACGGACTGGGTGGATGCATTTGCTCGGGCCATCACGATCCCACTGGTCTTTGTCATCATATACAGGGTGTGGCCCCATCGACTCCACACACAGCCCAGCTCGTTCTATCTGCCCTTTCTAAGCACCTTCCAGGCCTCAGGAGCATCAGAAGCACCTTCGCTTTGCTAACCCTAACCCTACACTGGATTTTCCCCATAACCCTAAAATCTGGCATAATTCTTCTGGAGAGATTTGCTATTTTTATTTGTATTGAAGTTAAACAACTGAAGATCTCAGTCCAGTATAAGTGGCGTGGCCTGGACCAGAGGGAAGACTTCGCTCCACCCCTCTCCCAGAAGTCCTGCTTCCTGCAAGCTCCAAGGGTCGGTCCCCATTCACACATACTTGTGTTGCTTCTGGTGCTGCAGCACAATTCCCACCCCCCACCCGCAGGCACTCGGGGATGCAGGCTTGCTGAAAAAGACCAGGGTTAAGGCCGTGAGGTGGAAGGGAAAAGAAAGGAAATGCAAAATTTATCCTGAGTAATTTACTTCTGTCTGTTCCGTGTGCTGTGAGTGTCCCTTTCTGTTAAATAGTTATGGAGGCATGTGAGACTCTGTGAAATTGCCAAATTCCATCATGATGCTTGTTCTCACTCCTCTCTCTGTCATGCTGTGATTCTTTTTTAAAATTTATTCTTCCTTCCACTGGGATATTTCCGGGCATCTCTTTGCCTGTTTCCAGGCATATTTTTCCAAATGCCAATTGTCTGCATCTTTGACTCACATTCATTTTGAAATGCAGGTGGGTCCCATGGCATAGGATTGTTGGAATGGGTGGAAGATGGTATAGGGCCTAGTGAGAGCACACTAGAAATGAAATCAATGCCAACAATATCTGCGGTGGCGCCCAACTTATGGAACGCGTTCCCCAGAGAGGTCCGCCTGGCTCCATCGTTATTTGTTTTTCGGCGCCAGGCCAAGACCTTTTTATTTAAACAATATTTTAATTGTTAATTTGTTGTTTTATTTATTACTTTTAAATTATGGCTGAGATACTCCGAATTTTTAATGTTATCCTATTCTATGTTTGTTTATCTTCCTTGTAAGCTGCCCCGAGGCTTTCTGTGATGGGAGTGGCATAAAAATGTTATAAATAAATAAATAAATATAAGTGTACATAAGTTTCCAGCCCCTGTGCAACAAGATGGCTGGATGACTTGGCCCTGGAGGGTATGGAAGCATCATTTCCTTTCATGGAAAAGCCCCTTTCACATGATCCAGCAGGGTCCCCTACATGGCAGCTAGATAATTCATCACAATCTCCATTATCCTCTCTGCAGTGTTGCTAAGTGATATCGCCATAGTGAACCTGCAAAACCGAATGGAGAGCTTGCAACCCAATCTGCCTCAGAACGTTTTCATGTGCCCAAGGGGAAGGCAGCTACAGTGAGAAGTACAGTTCATGAGAATGTGTGCAGGGCTGGGTATGTCCCTGGGGTTTGTTTGCATTGTGATGAGTGTTCCTTAAACCAAACGTGGCAAAATTTGACTGCCTGGATAGCTCTGTCTGCTGAAAGGTTTCAGCGCATTTATTCCCAACTCCCTCAAACTCTTCTCCCACTGGTCATTCCTTTAACCTGAAATGACTTTTCTTCTTTTTTAAATGAATACTGTGTAGTATTTCAGGATTGCTTTAGTTTCTAGTTTTGGTAATGTGAGCATGGCAATTATACAGTGGGCATCTAAAAAGATAAGGGATCATGAAGGTTTTTTAAGTTTTATATTTTATATATTTTATGAGGGGTTTTCAAAAAGTTTCTGCACTTTTATATTTTATAAATATATTTTATCTATTTTTGCTGATGGGATTAAAAAGGTGGTACGATGCTAGGAAAAATACATTGCAAAGGAAGATAACTATATAGAAAATGATGTAATTTGTTTTTGAAATTCTTAAGAAATAGTTTAAAAAGTGTGAAAACTTTTTGAAGAACCCTCATATAGTTGACTTTAAAAGACTATTAATTAAAATGGTTAATCATATAATATGAAAAAGAAGTGACCTAGAATAAACTTGTCAACTTATCCTAGTAGACTGTGTACTTATTTTATCTAGACTCTTAGCAAAGTAATATCGTACTGCCATTAGTAATGTCCTCTCTCAACCATTCCTTCAGTTCCAGTAGCACTGAATCTTTCCTTTAGGATCGGTCTTCTCTCTCTCTCCCTTTCTCTCCTTATCTCTGCTTTCTGACTTAAGCTTCTGTATCTTAAAATTCATTTCCCCCTCTTTCAACAACTCTTGTTCATTTCTGCAAATTAAGTTTTGAACTCCTAAATTAAAAATCTCTGTCTGTCTGTCTGTCTGTCTGACCTTCTGATGAATGTGATCATCTTCTGGCACCCAGAGCCAACTTTCCACACTGCCCCCCAAAGCCAGCATGGAAGTCTCTCCAAGAATACGTTCTGGATATGATCTGCAACTGCAGATTTTAAACCCCCATATATATTATCTTGCTTCTGCAAATGCTGCAGCAAAAGGGAGGGTGAATGAGTAACTGATCAGCATCATCCCTTTGAATGTTTTAGCACTGCTTTCCTGGAAGGCAAGGATGGAACTGGCACAGGGTCATTCACCCCTTGCCAAATGATTATCTTAATGATAACACACTCTGGAATTGGGTTCAGAGCATGATAACTCCCTTGGGCCTGGAGCAATAGGATTATTGGCTTAACAAAAGCCTGATGATGAGCGCTATCTTTATCCAAGTTACCACGGAAAAATCATGGCCAGCAGTGAAAAGGAAGTGAATAACCTCTGCTCCCTTCTCTGAAATTTGGAGAACTCCATGGAAACCTCTGCAATTATCCTTCTGAAACTTACATGTCTCTCTCCCTTGCTAAAAGAAACACTGTAGGATGACTGTAATTTTCAGATCACAAGGCACATGGGGATAAGTCTGTCCTCTTCTCTTCTCTTCTCTTCTCTTCTCTTCTCTTCTCTTCTCTTCTCTTCAAGAATGTGCAATTCTGGGCATTTGGTGTTAATCCCATGGCTTTAGTTATTTATTTGGAAAAAGAAGTCAGTTTAGAAAAAATAGTATCTTAGTCTAAATTATGACCAGACAAGATGATAGAGACCTTTTCAAAGTTTGAGGGAAATTATTGGTTTAGTTCTTTTTTCATGGTTTTTCTCCAAATGTTTTCTGCAGATAATTCACACCAGAGTATTTGATCCAGCACAGTAAGATTTCTTGCAGTAGCTCCTATGCTCACATCTTCCTCACCATGCAAGGTCTCCTAGCAATCTTTGTTTTCTCTGGGCTTCTCGCTACAGGTGAGCCCCCAGTAATAAACTTGCCCATCCCCAAACAAATTGAGGGCCAGGTTTATTCCAAGACTGAAGCTGGTGTGTGTGTGTGCATGTGTGCATGCGTGCATGTATCATTTCACTAATTCAAGCTGGAATAGACTGGTTGGCCTGGGACAGGTACAGGAATGCAAGAGGTCGGTGTTGCTCTAGGCAAAAACTAGCAGTGGCAAGATGATTTCCCTGCCTTTCTGCTTTGCTCTTTTTAGGATAGAATGCTAATGTGATTTAGAATGTGATTTTTTGTGGCCGTTTGGGAGAAGGGTTGCATTTTTCCATGACTAAATTTGTGTAAAATTATGGGGTGGAGTGGTGAACAATTGGCAAGTCAGCTTGGCAAGTGCAACTCAGCTGCGGAATCCACAGTTGGGTTCCTAGAACTCATTAGAACCCTTTGCAGAGTCTTCTGACATTCCAGAATGAGACGATCTTAGCCCAAGTTCCAATGAAGTTCAGTGGGGCAAAGATCTGTGGAATCTCTCTTTCCCATATACTTTATGAGCCCATTTCTGATCCTTCCTTTAGGTGCCTTTCTGATGTGCGAAACTTGCGAAAGCAGTGGCAAGACCTGTACTGGCAGTAAAGAGACTTGTGGTGCTGGCAAAGACACCTGTGCCACGATCTTGTCTGAAGCAGGTAAGCGACTTGATTCAGGGCAGCCCATAAATACCCTGCACATTTCCACAGCGTGTCCAAGCATGGGGATCGCCATCAATTGAGTGATAAAGCTGCCAAAGATGAGTGATTGCCCCACCTCTGGGCATGAGGATTTCGGGAACTGGGCCTGGAACTTTCCATCTGCCAAGCTCATCTTCTAATGCTAAGCTATGACTCTGCCTTGCGGATCTATCATGGATGGAGAGCTGGTGGTTCCTGGATTCATCATGTTTCTAGTCCACTTCTATCTGCAAGAGAAGCCAAGGTGGCTTGCAGGATGCTTCTTCTCCTTGTTTTACCATTACAACAACCCTGTGAGGTAGGTTAGGCTGAGAGTCAGTGACTGGCCCCAAGTCTCCCGGTGAGTTTCCTAACGAAGCAGGGCCTGGAGCCTGGATCTCTTAAGGCCCAGTCTAACCCTCTTACAGCTGCACCACATAAGGCTCTCTGTTTTGGGGAAATATAGTTTCCTATCTGGAGAGACATTGCCAACATCAGAAAGATTTGTTTGTAGGATATCAATGCTAACAGTGAAAAAGAAAATCCCATCTGGAAGATGGATGGATGGACACACACAGAGATTATGTTCAATGGGACAGAAAGCTTTATAGCAATTTAAGGCATTCTGCACACTAAACGTTCAGACATCTTAATACTCGCTTGGCCTTACAGAACAACATAACCCAAGGTCAAATAACAGCAAAAGGGAACTGGGGGATGAGGCAGACTGGGGACCTGGAACTTACTTGTACATCCTGTTTTTAAACAGGGCATGTTTTGCATGGATGGATGGATGGACGGATAGATTTAAGCCAGGGTCAGTTGTACAAAATTCAGGCCTCTGTTCCTTTGCTCTGCAAACCACAGTTTAAAAAAGAAAAAGGGAAGAAGCACCACCAAATCCAGTGTAATTACACATTTCTTGCTTGTACGCAAGTCAAGGGAGCCATTTTGCCCCCTGTCAAATCTCAGTTTCAGTCAGCAGAAACATTCAGTATTACTGGTGGTTCAGATCTGCTCTGCTTGAAAGGAGTCTATGCAGTTTTGACTTGGTTAGGCAACTTGGGCATTGCAAAGGAAAGGTGGGGGGATATAATCTGGTCAAACAGATGAAAAGACTTGTTTGGATAGATGGTATTCCAAACCAATCTTTCTTTTCCAGGTGAAGAAAACCAGAAAAACGTAAGCGTTGTAAAGAGCTGCTTTGAGAAGGTGAATTGCAATTCTGGAGGAATCAGCATCGTGAACGGAGTTAATGTCACCAAAACGATTCAGTGCAGCAAGGCTGCTCCGTCAGCCGCGTCCGTCCTGCTGGTGGTCTCTGGGTTGCTAATGAAGCAGCTCCTCCTGTAATATGCCAATTTCAGCAGTGCAGCGCTAAAAAAGGCTTCCTTGTCGTTTCCATGCAACCTCAAGGGTGTTTTTGTTTGTAATTTCATCTTTGACGTCTTGAGTTAAAACAAATAAAAGGAAGCAACCGTACATGCCACCCTTGGATTTGGTGTGGGGTGTTGGGGAGCGGGAGGGAGGGGCGGTGGAGGCAGGGACTTCCAGGAATATTTTCCTCCAACATGCCTGGGTAGATTTTGCAGCACAAGAAACTGGTGGGGACAGGGAGGTTCCTAAGTTTAGCAAGCTGACGGAACGCAAAACCACATGCAGTAAAGATGAGATAAGCACGATGCCCTTTGCACTCAGTCAACTGGGGCCATGTGAATGAGTCATTATTTCCTTTGCTTCCAAGTATTGCAATAAGCTGGAAATGATGAACTCTGGAGCCATGGGGAAGTCACATTTCAAGCAACACCAGGATTCCCATTTTTCTATATTCTGTGAAGCAATTTCTAGAAAATGGCTTTTTGCAGGGGCTGGCACAGTTATCATCTCGTTAAGAGCTCAGATCAGGTCCCGTATTTAGAAGATGCAGGCCAAATTGGATTGGATAGTGATGATGAAGATGATGATGATGATGATGATGATGATGATTTTCATTTCTATACTGCCTGTAGCCAAAGCTCCCTGGGCAGTTCACAACAGTAAGTCACCCATCCAGCTTTCAACCAGGACCGATCCTGCTTCCATTCCACAATTCTGCAGGCACTTCAGGCTATACGGAAGCAGTGATGGGACCCCACCCCCCACATTGCATGGGACACACCCTTTTATGGGAACCCCCCCCCATTGTTTGACCAACATGAAATAAATGGATGGAGAGGGATTTCTGAGAATTCATTTCAGTGTGTAAAGTGCTTGAAAATGTCTTTCACAGCCCAAAATACCAAAGAGAGCACATTTTATTCTAAATGGCCAAACTTGCATTTGCAAAACATGCACTTGAAAAATGCACCGTTTTCTCCAGATGCATAACTTTCTTTTAAAAAATTTACATCTTTAGAAAAATGCAGAAAGTTTCCATCAAAGAAAAAAAGATGGGCTGGAAACAAGGAGTGAGCTGAACCAAGCTTAGAATCCTGGGGATCATGACCTCAGGAAACACATAAAGAGGCTGTGTTTTGTGTTTGCTTTTTCCCCTTGACCCTCCTGGATTCTAACCATCCACAAGATATGCATGTACTTAGTGAAATATACTTACTGAGAGGAATGAAACACTTAAGTGTGATTTGACATGGAGAGCAATTGCTGCAGAGTAAACGGGTATTTATTTATTAGATTTATATTCCCCCTTTTTTAAAGAATTCAAGGTGGCTTACAAAATTCTCCTCTTGCTACTGTCCATCTTATTCCCCACAACGCCAACCCAAATAAATAAATAAACTAAGCTGAGAGTTTGTGGCTAAAAGTCACCTAGTTGGCTCCATGGCTGAGCAGGGACTAGAAACCAGATCACCTGAGTCCCAGTCCTGTGCTGTTAACCACTATATCAAACTGGATCTCTCATTTGAATGTAGGAGAAAGCAAAACCAAGCACTCCTTCAGGTGTTGGGATCCTAAGCCATTCAGAGCTTGTGGGTAAGTTCCCAACTTTCAACTGGACCTGGAAGCAAATAAGAAGTCCATGAAGTTTTTAAAAGCATAACTCTGTAATATGCATAATCTCTTGCAGATTCCAAGTTAATGCTTCCAAATTCTTCAGGCTCAGCTCCATAGATAAGGGAATCAATATGCTGGGAGGTAACTAAAGTTCTCTGGGACCTCCACCAGAGGTTGTTTCCCTCAAGCCTTCGGTCTGAACATGCACAAGGTTCTTCCTTTAATCTCTGGCAAGTGGTGAACTATGAACAGGTGCCCCTTCCCCTTCTTTTCTGCTTCACAGCTTCATGCCAGGCACAATTATTCCATCTAACCTGGTTTTGTCCTTCAGAAGTTTCACTTGGTGCAGAACATGACTGCCCAGATGTGGACGTGCGAAGGAGGGAGGTCCTGTGACCCTCAGACTGCACCAGCCACACTGGCTCCCACACGGGTTCTCAACCCGGCACGGGGCACTGCCGGTGGCTTTTAATGCCTTAAACCGTTTGGGACCAACCCACCAGGACTGAGTGGTGAGAGCTTTGGCTCCGGGGAGAGGGAGAAAGGGGAGTGGGCACCACACATGCATTTGCAGGGTGGAGGTGGAGGTGGAGACGGGGCAGGACCACGCCAGCCGCGCCTTCATAGCCACCCGCATGCAATTTGGGACTGGTGTGGGGTTGGTTTGGGTGTGGGGTTTTGTAGGGTTATGGTGGGCCTATTGTTGTGCTTCATATTGCTGCACTAGTTATCTTTGATGGCCATGTGTTGTGTTTATTGTGTATTTTGGGACTGAATTTGAACACCGCACAGGGAGCCCAAATGGGTTGGTTTTAGGGTGGTACAGAAATGTAGTAGTGGTGGGAATAATAATGATGGTCACTTGAAGGACTATTTGCATCGTTAGCAGCCTGCCGGCATCTTAAGATGGACAGCTGGGGCCCTTCTTGCTTGCCCACCTTGAAGGCAGGCATGGCAGAGATGGGCACAGCGATGGCTCTTTCGTGCAGTGGCCCCAGACCTTTGGGATGGGTTGAGACTGGTGAGTCTGGGAAGACTTCAAGGTTGCCTGTGAAGAAATGCGTGTTCTGGCCTTCCCCTCTGGCCTTCCTCCAGTTCTAGTTTATTGAGTATTCTGTTTACTTTGCAGGTGGAGTTAATGTTAAGTGCTTTCAGTAACATTTTATTGCTGGCAGCTTCTGTCTGCTAAGTATTGGTCATTTCTCTCTGTTAAGTATCAGTCATCTGGGTGGGATGGTTTGAACCCGATGGCCTTCTTGGCCCCTTCCAGTTCTACTCTTCTAGGATTCTATTGCAACAGGTGCCTGTATTTAAAGATATGAATTTCAATGCTGTGAGCAGCCCTGGGAGAGCTTCTGCCCTGAAAGGGCATCTAGAAATATTTTAATCTGGCAAACAAATATATACATCTTTTATTATATTTTATTTTACCTTAATTCACCACCAAGGTTGCGGGGTTGGATGTATTCTGCATCTCAACTGCCCCCTCCCCATCCACACAGACACATATACACGCACAAACTCTGCCTCTTCTGCTGTTTATGGGCTTCACTAGCAAGAGAATATAATGCAGATCCTTGCTTGCCTTTTCTCCAATTTTCGGGCACACTACTTTCAAACAAAATTTTCCCTGGAGGCTTCAAGTGATCCATCTCATTTCACTTTGGACCCATGAGATGATTGGTTTTATTGCTTTACATGTTCTAAACATGAAACCTCTTGAGGAAGTGCGGATCGTGCCATCCACTAGACTTAAAGTAGTTTCTGGAGAAGGTGATAAAACTTCAGGAGTTTGGCTTGGAAAATGCTTTTCAGTCAGGCGTAGACTTGTAAGCACTAATGCAGCTCCTTGCGCATGGATTGCATCTGGCCTCACTTCCATCAGAAGTCAAAAATCAGTGGATCACATGCCAATAACTGAGCAAATGCATTTGTTTTACCATTGGATTTCCCCTAACTTCCCCACGAGCCGAGGAGCCCATGAGCTTTTACCAGAATTTGAATGTAGACCAACATCTTTGTGGTCAGCATAAAGTGAATCGCCAAATGAATGAAGAAAAAAGAATGATTTGCTTGTCATCTTTCCCACCACACACACTCTAAGATAGTGTTTGATTTTCTCTTTTATTGAAGTTTGTTTCCATGCAGTGGAACACAAAAGACAACATATCCCTCCTGACACGCATCTCTAGGGTCAGGAGTCGGGTACAGACATGAAGGTGGTTTCAGTCTCGAGCCGCTGGGCATTTTCATTCCAGGACGATCTTCCCCAGTAGGAACACAGAAAGGATAAGAAGGAGGGAGGCAGCTGACTTGGAGCATTCAGCTTCTCTAATAATCCCACTATTTCTTAAAGGAGTAACTTTCCCAATAGCATTTTTAAATGCTTGACATTGTGCCTTGGTTGCGCATAACTTTTCTGTTTGGGTGTAGTTTCTCAGTGCTGAAAACAGAAATGAAAATACAAAACAAAGGTTGGTGAGCAGGATACCATTTCTCTAGCAGCCCAACAAATTCATCCGTTCAATATATCTACGAGTGTAACATTGGTGATTGCAACATGGCAAAGAAAATCAAAATTACCAAAGGCTTCCGGTCCAGCACAAACCTAGCAGAGTTCATCCTTATCATTTATAATGATCACAGGGCAGGAAGTTGTGCCCATAGCAACACAGATGTCACACTGCAGTGACGCCCCTGGAGGAATAGAGAAAGGTCCGTTAAGAGTCCTGGGGAGTGCTGTCCAGTCCAGCGAGATGAAGTAAGACCACCAGTGCTGCTGCAGAGGAGGGATTCTCCGGGACTCCTCCTCAGGACGTCTTACCCAGCATGAGAAAAGACTGCACACAAAACACAAGGCCCTGGGTGTTGGTTGTCAGGATGCGGGAGGTGGCTGGGATGACGTGGCCACTTCTCCTGCCCGGGAGGCAAAAAGAAGAGGAGACGCAAAGAGTTTGGCTGTGGAGGGAGCAGTGATGGGGTGCGGGGAGACATGGAGGCTTTGTCTCAGCTTGTGCAGTGCCAAAACACCACCCTGGTTAGAACGCCAACAGACACAGAGGCTATTGCGAAAGGAGCATCCTTGGGCCCTGGGTGACTTATCACCTCCCAGACTGGCCAGCCAGAGGGAGGTGGACCTCCTCAGCAGCCCTGTAAGGAGTGCAGGCAAAGAAAGTCCTGCTCCCGTTGTCCGGCTCGCCCAGTGCTGTGCAGGCATTCCCTCAATGAACGTAGGGAATACCTCCCTCAATTAAGGAGGTCTTCCCAGCTTTTTCCTTAAGTTTTCAGGAAATAAGTAGGGAGTGTAGGGAGAGTGAATGCTCAGATGCTGAAGGGGGAGCAGAGATGTAAAATGTGTTGTTTTTATAGCAAAGTTTAGCATATTTTACTGTAGCATTGCTTATACAACGAAATTCCAGAAAGCAGAAAGCAAGATTCACATTCTATGGAAGGTAGATGCTGGGGTTTTTCAGAATTTGCATGTTACATTCTTGGAGCCT